CCCCCGCCCCCCAATAATATCTCCATACATTGTCCGCTGCTTCTTAGAAAACTCCGTGTCACAGTCCATGTTTAAACCAACAACCTCGACAGTAACAAATCCCATTAAGAATACCATTATCCTTTTTCATTTTTAGGGATATCAATAAATCAATTCAGAACTTGAGACTCTGGCTCGGTTCAAGTAAAAATGGTTTGAGTTTCTTTTGGCTCAAATCGAGTTGAGTTTTTGCTCGGCTAAAAAAATTAGGCTCCTACCTGAGCTTTTGGCTCGAGCCTTATCAAGCCTAGTTGAGTAGAGTCGAGTATGCTCATGTATTTTTTTTAATTTTAATTTTTTTTTTTAAAAGGCAGCTAGGTAGCTGTTTGCAACAAGCAGCATTGTAGCTTATTTTTTCTATATTATTTTAGTGGAAATTACAGATTTTAATAGATTAAAAATCGTCATTTTATAAATAAGATGCCATGTTTAGTATTTCACAAATCAGAAATTTTTTTAATGAATTAATATATTTTAAAATTAATTATGTAACCTAATTATATCAATCCCAATTCCTTTTCTCTCTCTCAATTCCCTCTACTCTCTCTATTATCGCCTCTCTCTTTGCTCTCGCCCGCCGCCTATTCATTTTAGGAATAATCTCCAACGACTAGCAGCATAGGAGCAGTATCTGCGAAACAGATCTACGACCGCGCGAGTGAAGTGGTGTTTCGTGTGGTGCCGTCGCCTCCTGCCCACTATCCATTTCAAGATCTAATCGCCGGAGACTAGCAGCGCAAAAACAGTGGATGCGAAGCAAAATCTACGATTGGCGCTTGAAGTACTGTTGGCTGGCCACTGAATCTGGTGGTTGTGGTGATGGGGGTTGATGGCGGTTGCAGTGGGTGGTGGGGTCGTGGTGGTTTTGGTTGTTAGATTAGTGGTGGTGATGGTATTTGTGTGGTTGGCGGTGGCTGATCTGATGGTTTGGTGTGTGGTGGTCGACGATGGCGATGGTGGCTTGTGTGGGATGGCATAAGTGACGAGATCTGGTGGTTTGATTTTCATTGTTTTGGTAATTGGTTTCTGTTACTGTGGTGATGGTTAGCTTGCAGTGGTGAGGGGCAGTTGGAAAGTTTTGCTTGTTGAAAGTTTTTGTGCATGGGTGTGGTGGTGTGAGTGCGACGACGGTGGCGTGTATGCGACGATGATGGCTGATGTTGGTGATCTGCACAATTTTGTGGTGACGGTGGTAGTTGCGATGGATTGCAGTGGTTGTGGTGGTCGTGGCGGTTTGGTTGATTCTGTGACAAATAATTGGACCCGTAACCTAAAGATTGTGATTGTGACTCTGAATTGTAACTCACAATTTGGGAGTCACAGTTGGTTGTGATGGTGGTTGTGGTGGTCATGGTGGTGGTCGTGATGGTTTGGTTGATTTGTGACTTACAATTGGATAAGTGATCTGAAAATTGTGACTCTGACTCACAATTGGATACACGATCTGAAAATTGTGACTGTGAATTGTAAGTGTTGGTGGTAGTCACACATTATTTTGTTGATTGTGACCATTAAATTGGTGAATCTGTGACCAATAAACAATATGTGATCAATGAAAAAAATAAATTGTGATCGACAATAATGTGTGATCTAAAAAATTGTTAATCTGTGATCGATAATTTGTGACTATATAATAAGCTGTGACATGTGGCTTATAAATTTTTTGATTTGTGACCAATGAACAAACTGTGACCTATAAAATTTTTGAATTGTGATCGTAAAATAATTTGTGACATAAAATTTCTGATTTATGACCAAAAAATAATAAGTGACGAATTAAATCGTTAATTTGTGACCAAATTATATAAATTTGTGACTTAAATATATTTAGTTACTAAATTAATTAATTAATTAATTAAATTATAGATAATTTTTAATAAAAATCTGATTTTTGAAATTTGAAACTTATTTTCTTATTTTTGAAATGTGCCATAATTAATCTCTTACTTATGAAATTTTCCCATTATGTTAAGGTTCGGCTCACCACGGGCCTAAAATGGCCCGTGCTTGATTCCTCAAAATAGGGCTTGGCCCTTTTCTCGACTTGTTTCTATCGAGCCTCGAGCAGGGCCGATTCAAACTTTTTGGGTCAAGTCACGAAAGGTCTTGGGCCGACGAACCAAATTGACAGCCCTATTCATTCCCTATGAAAACCAATCTAATATTGCATTTACCTTATAAAAAAGGATTACAGTAACAACAAAGGAATCATAACAAACAAATAATATATCACTAGACACTAATTATAAATAAAGCGTTTTTATGTAAAGTATTGACGTGTTGAAACAATAACTGAAAACATTAAAAGATTCATACATAGATTGTATTTGGCCCTCTATATTTCAACTTGAATTCGCTCCTTATTTTAATTTTGAGTAAACAAGCTTGTCGAATTTCTTAAAATATTATTACACAGACAATAACAAAATTTCTGTTGACATAAAAGCAATGCTCTCATCTAAATCGATATAGAAAAATAAATTTTAAGAAAAATGAAATAAAATATAATTTAAATACCATTTAAAGTAAAAATAATATAAAGACAAATGGTAAATATATTTATGTTTGGATGACGAGAAACTTGTTATGGAAAACAAACTACTAAAACTTTCTGTAAATTTTTCAGAAGAAAACTGGTGTCTATATAATAATCAGTAACCACAGAATTTCTGTTAATTTTCTGTTAAGATTACCGTGCGATCAAATGATTCAAATTTAAATTGATTTTTAAGTCTGTTAGGATGATTTAAGCCCCGTTTGGCCCTCATTTTCTGAAAATGAAAATGAGTGAAATAGTATTTTTTGAAAAATGAGTGGTTGAAAAAGAAGGAAAAGTTTTCGATTTAAGTTTAATATTATTTTATGTAATATTATGTAGTTGAAAATAGAAGAGAAAGAAATGAAATGTAATGAAATTGAATTTAATGAGGACCAAACGGGGGCTAAATCACTAGCACTTGCATTTAGCTTAGAATATTTCTCCAAAAAATTTTTTTACAAAAGAGCTACAGAAAAATGGTGATATCGATGCTTAACAAATTTGTTCGAATATCATGTGACTAGTTTATTTACATAAGCACTGTTCACATCTACATTCAAGAATTTGGAACACGAAATTGAAATACTTTGACTCAAAGATCTTCAATAATTAATATTAGAGCATAACTATATTCTTTTTCTTTCGTCCAAGTTTTGTCATATTGGATTTTCTAACAATTTTAATGAGGCAACATTTCATTATAATCCAAAATTTTAATAATTAACTATACTCTATTTCACTTTGTTGATTTTTATCAAATGACGTTTTTAACGAAACAATTATTGTGAAAATAGTAATCTGAGTGAGAGTATTGTGAAATTACGAGATAGTTATTGATGATTATTAATCTTATTAGAATATTTAGATAAGTCTTATTTAATTTAGAATAACGTATTCCATTTAAAATGTAACTCTCGACCAAAGTCAATGATTATAATAAAATTACACACAAGTGTATTGATGCCTTTATTTTATTTTATTTTTCTTGTTCTTTTAATCAAAATTTAACTTATTCTTTGAAAATGTCTATTTTAAAGTAAATATCAAGAATGAGGACCTCGATCTATTCCTTTTCTCGGATTAATCTCTGTCTCTAATTGTACAGTCCAACCGAAATTCGATCAGCGAACTAGAGTATTATACTGTCTATGCACCATGATTATCCAAATTCTCCGATGGTCGTCGCTTTAGATATCTTTTCCCAGCCTTTCTCTTGATTCATCACCGTCGACAACGTTGTGTTCTTCATCACGGCCATTGACGCCTCAAGTTTCACCTAGGGGTGGACACGAGGCGCGACCCCCCAACCTACTATATATATAGGGATAGTAATTTGAACCGTTAAAATTGAAAACTACTGTTAACCGAACCGAAGGGGACGGAAAAAACAAAATCGATGGTGCAATGGAGTGGATATGGTATTTAATTTTAATGAATCAATTTGTCGCGGTGCGGGTATGATATTTATGCCGTCGAATCGAAATCAAACCGATTACCCACTTAAAAAAAATCATTATTTTATTAGAGATGACATGGTTTAGTGAGGAGGAAGTTGAGGAAGGGGTACTTTTTTTTTTATTTAAATCTTAGCTAAAACCATTATGGATTAGGTAGTATCATTGTATTCTCTATTTACATTTCTTATTTACTATATAGAAATCAATTTTGAGTGCTAATCTATGCTAGTAAGAGTTGTGGAGAAGAATGAAAATTGAATATGAGTTAAGGTTAAAACTTTTGAATCATTGAACATAAATCAAGTGACTACAATGCATAAGAATTAAGAACGAAAAAGAAAAGTTTAGTATTGTTATATTCATAATATTGTTTGTTAAATTTGTATTTTGCAATTGGAATTTGAGAAAATGTTTACATTTTCGTTTGGAATATTGTGTTTTTGTTTTCATTGACTCTTTTTTCATAAATTGTTTTATATCAATTTGATGGATGAACCTATAAAAAATAAATTTTTTTCGTGGTTATTAACTAAATCGAATCGAGATACGAACCGAACCGATTTACGTGGTTATGATGGAGTTATGGTATGACAAAAAATTTGACGGTTCGGTGATGGTTTTGGTCGAACCGAACCACCGAACCGTTGCCATCCCTAGCCTTATTTGGTATGGATTAAAATTTAAATTTTAATATAAATAAAAAAAATTAATTTTAATAACATATTTCATAGGACTCACAAATTTTCAAGTTTTATCAAAATTTACTATAATTTTGATTTTAATCTCCATCAAACGGGTACAAAATCAAAATTGATTTGAACTTTTCCACTATCCCTTAAGCACTCTCGCAACTCACGCCTTTTATCAAAGTCTTAACTCTTCTAATTTTTTAAAATTTGCCTATAGTTTCTCTACAAATCTTCACTTCCTAATCATATTTTGAACCTAAATTTGCATTTTCTCTTATCAAATTCTGAAATGATTATGTCCAATTTAATTTATATTTAACAAATTGTATTTATTTGATTAAATATTAGTAATGAATATTTGTTATATGTTTTTCCTTTTTATTACTTACATTGATTGTTTGTATCAAATACCTATAAATTCTTTAAACGTAAATATGCATTTTCTTGTGATGAGAAAAATATTAATAAAAGGATTGTTCGAAATCAAGTTGTTGAAAACGATGAACAAAATAGTAATGAAAAAATATTTTTTAAACGTAAATCTACATTCTTTCAAGTCAAGTATGAATCATTCAAAAATCAATAACAAAATATTCGATTTGTCCAAGGTTTGATTGTGCCACCAACTCAAAAATGTTTGTGTCCGCCCTTGGTTTTACCGGCTGCTTTCGGGGCATTGTTTCTTAGGATTCCTTCGCTTTGATGCTATTCAGAACCGTGACTTTCATGATCGGGTTCGTTTTGATGTCTTGGTCATATAGTTTTCCTTTTCTACTTTGTATGCTTTTGAATTTGTTTGAATTTGGTCGTGCCATCCTCTGGCCTGCCTCTGAATTTACTAGAAATTTGATTTTAATCTCCATCAAATAGGGACAAAATCACAATAAATATGAACTTATTCATTTTCCCTTAAGCACTCCCGCGACTCTCTCCCTCACGCCTTTTATCAAGACCTTAACTCTTCCAATTTTTTTAAAATTTGTCTATAGTTTCTCTACAAATTATAACATTTACTACAAATCTTCACTTTCGAATCATATTTTGAACCTAAATTTGCATTTTCTTCAATCAAATTCTGAAATGATTATATCTAATTCGACTTACATTTAACAAATTGTGTTTATTTGATTGAATATTAGTAATGAATACTGGTTATAAGTTTTTTCATTTTTATTACTTGTATTGATACTTTGTATCAAATACAATATAAATTCTTTAAACGTAAATATGCATTTTCTTGCGATCAACAAATTATTACTAATAGGATTGTTCGAAATCAAATTGATAAAAATGATGAACAAAATATATGAAGAAATGTTTTTTAAACGTAAATCTGCATTTTCTTGAGAGTTAAGTATGAATCATTCAAAACTCAAGAACAAAGTATTCGATGTGTATAAGGTTTGATTTTGTCCCTCAACTCAATGTCTCTGTTCGCCACTGGTTTCACCGGCTGCTTTCGGGCGTTGTTTGTCGGGATTTCCTTTGTTTTGATGCTATTCGAAACCGTGACTTTCATGATCGGGTTCATATTGTTGCCTTTGGTCATAATTCTGGTTTTGCTTTTCTACTTTGTGGGTATGCTTTTGAATTTGTCTGAATTTGGTCGGGCCATCCTCTGGCCTGCCTCTGTTGCCATTGAGGTTGCTCCAGGTAAAGGGAAATTATTTTCTCCAAGTTTCTTCTTTTTACGAATTTGTAAAATCTGTAGATAACCTTTTATGTTCATATTGATGTTTGATGAATGCTTGCTTGCTTGCTATATGTTGTTTGGTACCGTAAATTTATGCTGTTGAAATGGATGAAACTCCCCACCCCAAATTGTACCAGAGAAAATTGAATTAGTTCTTAAATGTAATGCAAGAAGCGAAAATCACTGAAACCATTTAACAACTCCGATTCTAGAATCTCAGTAAGTAAATAAAATTGCACCTGCATTAATCGAAGAGAATGGTTTGGAACCTCCATGTAGAGCACACGAGATAACTTATACTTGGTTTGAGAGTAACTCCTGGAATTACCTATCAGTTCCTTTAAGGCAAGCTTTGTGCTAGGTCGGTATTCACAATTTCATTTTCGGACTTTAGCAAATATATTTCGCGGTCTGCTTCTAGATGCATCTGAGCGTCCAAGCTCTTATCTGCCTTGTTACGCTAACTAACCTGAGCTCCAAACTCTAGAACAGTCTCAGGGGAACAAGACAAGATTTAGCTTGATAGTATTTGATGTCTGACGTTAGCTTGGTGGTAGGTCCAAGCTGAATTTATCATGGGGGCTGCTACATATACAGCTCAATGTACAGCCTCATTACATGGGGGGAGGGGCCTGCACGTTAATTGGGTGTGAGCCCCTCCCATCATGTGAGGGGAGTGTACACCTAGTTGTAAGACTCAGTGTATAAGGGGCTTTATTCATTTGTCATTTACAAGGGTTTGTGTTTGGTTTATTTAAATGAGATAGCTTGCCAGGCTAGGCTCGGAAGTCCAATGATACCACGTTGGATGCTTACCATGTTAGGCTTCTGATCTAAATAGAGATGAATTGATACTAGAATCATATTTGACTTGAGCTGTGTCTGTAATGACATTTTTCACACTACAGATTTTTCCTTTTTCTTGTTTCTTCTTTTCCGCTTCTTTCTCCAACATAGTTATTACAGTTGTACCTTTTACACCATTGAATTTTCCTCCCTTGGCATGTCATGAAATTCTCTGGTTAATTTTCATGATTTCATTCGTATGAACACTTGTAACTTTCCATCACTTGCAATTTGATATGCTCGGAGTGGGGCAGTGTTTTTACTTCACTTTTACATGTCATGAGCAGAAAGTTGATGTACTGTTGCTATTACGCGCTTTCTTGTTTGGCCATCGCTAGATTTTGGCCAGATGTTCATCGTTCTAAAGATGATTCATGCGTCCAGTTTGAATACAGCTGAATGTATATTATCATTTTCTTACTATAGTTGCATCTGTGACATTTTTCCACAGCTTTGCCTTTATGCTTCAACCTTGTCCCTCTGTAAATTTTGTTTGTGTTCATCATAGTTACCGGAAGTAATTAAATCTGTAGAAGTTTTTGTTGCCTTATAAATTCTCCAACTATACATCCAAGTACCTTCACTTGATAAGTAACATTGAACAGGAATGTCGAAAACGAATGAGTGAACGATATAACGACTAAAATTTCAACTTCTTTTTCTTTTTAGCCTCTATTTTTGCTCCATTTTCTAGAAAATGCATTTTTCTTTCACTTGTTTTTCACTATATATTCTCTATAAAATAATATTATACATAAATCAAAAACTTTATTCTCTTTTAATCATGCATTCTTTAAAAAATTATTATTTCAAAATACATTTCTCAAATAAATTTAATGAAGCCCAAACAGCGGCTTAATATTATTAGTACTGTCCATTCCTCTTATCAAAACATGCTAAAGAAGCCTAAACTGGAAAACCAATGCCAAAGAAACCTTCATTAGAAAAGGGGCGCGGGCCAGTCATATATACAATTATTGGAAGCTTATGAAACGAAAGTTGAACTGTCCATCTCCATAAAGCAAATCCATTACCACACAAAAATGCTTTCCCTCCCACTCTCTCCTTTCATCTCTCAAGTTTAGTATCCATTCCTAGCAATACCTTCTCCATTAAGAAATATCAATACAAAACATACCTTCTCACCAATTAACACTCATTTCTAAAAGAAGAAAGCTTACAGAGAAAAAATGAGTGCCGACTGGGGACCGGTGGTGGTGGCTGTGGTGCTGTTCGTCCTCTTGTCGCCGGGGCTGCTATGCCAGTTTCCAGCAAGAGCAAGGATTGTTGAATTCGGCAACATGTACACTAGCGGGATGTCTATCCTACTTCACGGGGTATTGTTCTTTTGCATTTACACCATCGTTATCATAGCTGTTGGCGTTCACATACGTGCAGCCTAATACATTTGTGTGTAATAACAGATCCAACTATGTATTCTTCTTGTCCGAAACTAGTTTGTTTTCTTCTTCTTTTTGGCTTCTTTTGTAAAACACATATCTAATTAGTTGTGAAGAATTTACTATTAAAACTTGAGTCTTCTTAAAAGGTCAATCTTATTAAGAAGAGTAGCTCAAATCTTTATAAATTTATATATGTTTTCATCTTTATTTGATGTAAGATTTTATCCTTTCTGTATGGTTGATTTTCTTCGTTATTTCGATTGTTTGCTTTGGATGTTACTAGTTTTGTTACTTTCGCATAATCGTGCATGCAAGTGGTTGAAGCTAAGGTGAATATTAATTTAGTCCCTGTTTGGCACTTATTTTTTTCTCATTAAAATGAAAAATATGACCGTTATTCATCACATCAAACCATCAAATTTAAATTTTTATCTCTTATGTGAGGCTCATAATGGCTATATTTTTCATTCTCATTTTTACAAAAATGGGACACAAACGCCCCCTCAATTTGCTGATGATTCCTCCATGTCTACAAGTCTTTAAACTAGTCCTACTGCTAAGGACAGTTGGGAACTGGTTCAACCAAGGGTGGATTCACTAGAACAAGAAAGGTATCAATCGATATTAAGAACTTGTTTGGCTAGGATTTTAAAAGCTAAGAGTGATTTATGGGATTAAAAAGTAAATTTTAAAATCTGTTCAGTTTAATTTTAGAAGTAGTTTTGCTACTCTATTCCAAGGTAGTTTCCTTATGAAACTTTTCTAAAAAAAGTAAATTCAGCAGGAGCCACCGCAAACAGACCCTAATCACACAATCAAAGGATTCCCCCCCCCCCCCCCCCCAAAAAAAAC